ATGTATGTACGTAAATGTTTAATGTAGCTTTGTATTGTTACATAATCTGAATTTTCTAGAAACTTTCCGCACACCTATAAATATAACCAACACAATGCGCCAAAAAGTAGTATCTATTATTAGTTTGCTATAGTCAGTGTGCTATAAACTTTGGAAGCTATAACTGAGATTGTTATAATGCTTATTAGTTGGAAAATTTCAGATATTTGTCCAGGAGCATTTACAAAGTTCAAACATTACAAACCATTTAACTTTAGTGGATTCTTATCGGACATTAGTATTTTTACGAAAACATTACTTAACTTCACGGTGGAAAACTTGGCATGTATGGCTGGTGAATAACGAAGGACAAAGCTATCTAGCTCCCCCATTAAGTGAATCGTATCTACATCAACTCCTAATTAACTTGCTTATTGTGAACTCTCGATAAGATATCAAGGAAGTTCCAGACTAGAAAGAAGACTTTATATTGCTTGTAAATTTGTAAAACTTTTATATATAAATCATTGTGTGTGTGATAACTATTTGTAATAACTGTTATTGTAAATTGTATTGTTGTTTGTATATTAAAACATATTTGTGTTAAAAAAGAAAAATGTGTTTATAAATCTTGTTGGCAAATATCATAAATTGGAGATATATTGGCATATATTTAAATACTAAATCCAAAGTACAATTTAACTATTAAATTTAAATTATCAGTTAACTCAGTTCCAAACCTTTCAAAATTTTAATACATAACAGTAGTTACAGGAAGAACATATTAGTGACACATTACTGAAAAACCCTTTCAAATACATGTTAGTAAGAATCAATAATGATAAGAACTGAGTGTGGACCATTGGTTAGCATTCTGGACTCTGGATTTGAGGTTCCATAGTTTATGTCCCATTACTGTAAAAAAAACAAAAACATATGCTCCATACTTTGAGAACATGAGTGAGTTATAAGAATGATGGTTTAATTCCACTTTTCGATTAGAGTAGCTCAAGAGTTGATGGTGGTTGGTACTGACTAGCTTCTATCCCTCTTGTCTATCACTAAAAAATTATTGATGACTAGCACAAGTAGCTTGCTTGTACCTTTTCATGAAATTTAGAGAAACAAGTAATCCTTACAGAATTAAAAATATTTCTGTTTGTTAAAAGGAAATCATAGAACTGGTTTTCCATTTACGGATGCTCATAATGGTTTTATGTACAAAAAAAATGCCTTTCAAGTTGCTTGTTTTAAAGAGACAGTGTAGTGTTTGGGTGAAAAGATGCAGCAAATACTTCTTACAAGGAAGCAATACTCATGACATCATAAATACATTCACTCTAATTATTTTCAGAGAGAAACCATTAGTAGTAACACCCCAGTCACAAAGCACTTCTAATACAGGTTTCTAGGAAACATAATGGCATCAATGACAAGCCATTTATAATAATCATTGCTAGGAAATCATAATTGTCAAACTAACATTTCAAATTGATCTGTAAACCATTATGCAAGAAAACTGTTTAATGGTACTTCAGTTTAAGCCATTCCTTATGTTTATTAGAAAATACTGCAGTAGTACAAATGCTTGTTGCTAAAAAAGGGCATAGGGTTAACACTCCAAGTGCTTGTTATTAATACAAGCTTGTAAACATTAGCTGTTCAAAAGACCATTACAGGGAATCTGTAATAATTTCATTCCAAGTTTAAGTCATTTCTAGGTCTTGTTTCATGTTAATCAAAGTACTCTCATTAAAAACTGTACAACTCTAAAACTTGAAAGCTAATTTCCTTACGAAGAATGGAAGTAGTCTGCCAATTAATATCAGGGAGTTCATTATATAAGTAGTGTGGCCTAACAAAAATACTTTTACGTTCATTTTGTCAAGTTCTTAAGGATCTGTGGGCTGCTTGGAAACCAGCTTTACATAAATAAATGACTAATAGGTTCTGAAATGCCTTTCACATAAGAGACTGCTAAGAATATTAAAGAAATTATGTTGTTGTTTAACTTAACATTTTAGTTCATATGCATACCCACTGATTCGTTTATGTAACTACTGAATCCAGAATAGAGCAAAATTTCAGATTTTCATTCTTATAGTATTATTAATCCCTGTATTCTGTTTTCTTTCTAAAGGAGAAAGAAATTTTAAATAGCATATATATTTTTTATATATTTATACTAAAAATGACCATTTGGAAATGAATGTTTACAAAACACCCATGCATTCTGGTAGATACTTACAATTGCAGTACCATCATCCATAAGAAGGTTTCTGTACTGAAAAATCTCTTGAAAAAAAGATCATTTACATCATATTCTTCACAATGACCAATAGACCAAGAATTAAGAGATGCTAAAAAATCCTTTTTGTGTATGTATACACTCCTTCATTTGCAAATAAATCTAAATACAAAATTCACAACCAAAGTGATTCTAATTTACAAGACTTTGCTTAACATGCAGCACTAAACAAGATGTGCATTTCTAAAAAAATTGTTCTGCAGCTCTTAAATTGCAGTTAGTATGGAAAAAGAAACTCAATATTGTATTTCTTTATTAAAAATGACATTTAAACTTTGAAAGTCAAGTGATACATGACTATATGTTCAACACAGTTACCACCTTTGAATCAAAATTTCTTGGGATTCATCTTGCTATTGCTCCAGGTCTCATCTCTGGAGGTGTTACTTCCAACATTTGCATGAGCTCTTTTTGATACTTGCTTCAGGAAAGACATCAAGGAAATACCCCTTTTGTTTTCCCTTTGATCTGTCTGTGACTCAGTGACTGGACTTCTTGAGCCAAAATAGAATGTTAAGCTTTGGGTTCCATATACATAAAGTGAACATGTTGTAGTGGACAAAAAAGGTAGATATTCTTGGTGTCTAAAAGTTTGTTTTACTTAGAAAAATTAAAAATTAAAGAATACATCATAAGGAAGGATAGCACAAATCTTGCTTAGCATCTATTTAATGTCTGGCTTAGATGATTTATTCCAAAAAAGAGCAGTGTTGACTGTTGTGTAGTGCTCATATTTGCAAAGTACATTACATCTCAAAGAGGATTCTTGCAGACAACCATGAATCATCCATCTTCATCAGTTCACCACACTCCATTCCAAGCTTTTCAAAGTCCAGAACAGGGGAAATAACATTATGCATGGCTTGGAAATTTCCATCTAGTTTCAAGGAGGTGAAGGGCTTGATGTTGAACAAGAGCTTTTCAGCAGTAGAGAAGCTATGAGTGAAAAACTCCACAAGAGAAACCATGATTTTATTCTTAACCACAGAACTTTCCTGTCCATCTGTGACAAACATGCAGTGTTTTTTGTACTGCCACACGGTATGGAGCTTCACATCCTTCTCACTTTCCTTCAATGAATTAAATTTTCACTTTTTTGGGGATGTTAGCTTACCCACATCCAAGGGAGGTTACAGAGACAAACTGGAGCTACTTTTTATATCAGGAGAAGATAGCAGGTATATCAGCCATAAATGCCAAATATTCAAGATTGCCAATGCTTGTGAGCAAGTGAAGATTTATAATATTTATGGGGATTTATAGTCCCTTTAATCCACCATATAGAAACCTAAAATATTTCAGGTGTGGAACTGCAGCTAATTTATTAATCAAAAATATATGATATACCAGCTGTTTAATGATTGTATGCGTCGTGTGTGTATATATATATATATATATATATATACACT